CCATTTTCTGTGGCCGTTCGCGGTCCGGTACGCTGCGCATCAGCTCAACCTTTGGCCCCGTGTCTCCTTGCCGGAGACCTCGCCCACACTGCGTTGGACGGGGAAGGTTGGCGATGCGTCGGTGTTCCGGGTCTGGGGTTCTCGTGCCTTTGTTCGCGATACGTCCGCGGACAAGCTCTCCCCTCGTGCTATTCCCTGCGTCTTCCTTGGCTTTGTCCCTGACGCGCCTGGCTGGCAGTTTTACCACCCCACCTCGCGCCGTGTCCTCCCTTCTCAGGACGTCACGTTCGACGAGTCGGTTCCCTTCTACCGTCTCTTTCCCTAACGCTCTGCCCCTTCCCCGCCCCCGCCGCTCTTCATTGCTCCCGGTCCGCCTCCGGTAGACCCCCTCCCGCCCCAGGGTCCTGCTCCCTCGGGAGTGTCTCAGGTAGACCCTCTCCCTGGTACTGCGCCTGTTCAGGTAGCTGTCGTCTCAGGTGCTGCTCCAGGTGCTGCGTCTGGGGGTGCTGTGTCTGGGGGTGCGGAGCCGGGGGGTGCAGGGTCTGAGGGTGCTGGGTCTGGGGGTGCTGAGCCTGAGGGTGTTGAGCATGGGGGTGCTGAGTCGGAGGGTGCGGAGTCTGGGGGTGCTGAGCCTCGCGGTACTGCTTCGTCTGGAGGTCATGCTGGTGCTTCACCGCGACTGTCCTCGCAGCAGCTGCGTGAGTGGCTTGTTCAGCGCGCACACCGTCGGAGTGGGGCTCCCGGAGCTGGCGAGCCTGGAGGTGCTGCTGTTACTACTGGAGTTGGAGACCCTACGGAGCCTGGAGCAGCTGGCGCTGGAGGCGCTGGAGCTGGAGTAGCTGGAGTTGGAGGCCCTGGCGTAGGCGGCGCTGGAGGTGCAGGAGCTGGAGCTGTTGACCCTGGAGCTGGAGGTGCTGGAGGCATTGTGCGGCCGCGCCCGTACTTCGTTCCCCTGCTTCAGCAGGTTCTTGGTGTCCCGTCTTCTATTGGTCTTCCTCCTCCCTTCCTGTGTCCACCGCCTGACCAGTCGCAGCCGCCGTTACAGCCAGCCTCCCCTCTGCCTGTTCCCTCTCCTTACGCTGAGCAGTCCGGAGGTCTTACGTTTCCGGACGTTGCCTCCTCACTCATTTGATTAATTTTCATGTTTCAACTCTTTTGTGTTTTGGCAGTCTTATGTTTCCGTAATAATTCCGAGTTGTTTGTTACATGCTGCTTGTGTTGTATCTCGATCAGACTGTGTTGGGTTGACAGATTGTTGTGCTTCCAGCGATGTGGGGTGCTAGCGATTTCCGTCAAACCCAAGGCAGTAGGTGGCGACCTGGCGTGTTTGCCAGGTTCGGACTAGCTGCCCTGGCTTGTGATTTGCTTCGGGCCTATTTCGTAGGGCCGCGACTCACGAGGCCCCAAGTTGGCACTGTTTCTGCTAACCCGGGGCCCCAGTCTGATCAATTCCCTATTGTTTCAGACGTTTCATGTCTGATTTTGCCTTGGTACCTGCGCTAGACTTTTCCGTTTTGTATTGGTTCAAACAGAAAGTTTGTTTTGGACCGGCCCTGAAAGAACCCAGCCGAAGTGCATCGCCACCTTGTTCCCTTTCTCAAATTGAACTGGAGTTTCTTACTTCAAACTCGAGTTTCTTGCTTCAGATCGAACTCGAGTTTCTTGCTTCAGAATCAGATCGAACTCGAGTTTCTTGCTTCAGATTGAACTCGAGTTTCTACCTTTTAAAAGCCATAACCCTTCCACACGTCCAAAGGACTCTCTCGTACAGTATCGAGAACATCCCTACAAGCTACAGTGGACACCACCAAGTGCCCCTTTACAGTATTGGGGGCCCCGCTGCGCTGTACACTCAGCCACGTCATATTGCCGTTGCTCTGCTGCACTGGCCATGCCCGCATCGCGATACACACGCAGGTGCAAGGGTGGAGGTTGGAGTCGGGCCAAGTTGGCCCGCCCACCACTTGTAGGCGGGCGGGAGCTGCGACAGTTTGTGATTCATGGTACTGCTGCAGGATTTGCTCTCAATCAAGTCCGCCATCACAAGCACTTAATCTACAATTCTGTGTGTCAAGCTCGGGGTTCACCGCTTTGAATAATCAGGTGGATTGCGTTGCGTCAGCTCTTCTGTGCGAAAACCAGGACCGAAGAAGCCCGTCTGAAATGTATGAAAGTGGAGGCAGCGAAGAGCACGGGCGTGTGACCTGTTAGCATTACAGATTCAATACAGCCTGTTATCGAATAACCTCTCTGAGACATGACGGAAAGGGATACGGCAATCGATGGTCAAATATATTTTCTGCCCCCACCACAGTTCAGCTTTCGCCGCGAACCTGGACCGTCAAGGGGTTTGCAAAAAACTTTTGGAGGGACAATGGCGACAGTGGCAAACTTGTTTGCTGGAAATGGAAATCCTTTCGGTGCAGTGGCTGTGTGGGCGGTGAACCTTTGACAGAGGATGTGGGGGCCAAAATATTAGTGATCAGAGGTCTGAGTATTCAATAACGTATCATATAGCTACACCCGGAAACATTTTCACGTAGCCAAGCGAAGTGTGGCGCAGCCATCGTCCATTTCTGGAAATGATGCCAAAACAATCGGTTGAAGCAGTTGAAGCAGTTGTGCGATGCATCTTCTGTGAAGATAGATCTAGATTCATACAACTGAGGGGGCACCACAAACAAGACACCAGCGTGGATGGGATGGGACTGTACAGCAGTTGCAGAACACAACAATCTTTTGTACATATTTTCGTCGTGAGTGACAAGGTGATTGAGGAAGAGCAGTAACCTTGTTGCTAGTAACTTTCCGAATGCAAAGGCTAATATTGTTGTTTTTTCTGAACATTGAGGGCTAAATAGGTTCTGCTACTTGATTTGCTACCTGAGTGACCTCCTGGTTTAAGAATATTATGAAAAAGGCACCCTGGCTGTAGGCATGGTAATCCACTCATCAGTCCTACCAAACCCCAACCCTTCCGAGACACCGAGCACCTTACCGTCCCCAGCACCTTCAATATCGAACCTTGGAATGCGGTTTTGAGGTGCGGATGTGCAGAGGGGTGTGAGAAGAGCTGCAGAATATAACTGCTCTCTGGCTGCAACCATGAGGTATTTCACAAAGATATGTCGGTCTTCCAATCAATGTGGCAATTCGCGTTACAATGGCGGCACACTGGATGCATTGCAAGGGGACATTGTTGTCTGGAATTAGCCATAGAAGTGACGATCAGTTACACTGTTTCGTATGAATAGAGGAGTTCAAGCCCAGCATTATGCTCGTAATGTAACGACATCAAATGATTTTGTTCGTGTGTCTGCTTGCACGGTGACTGGACGCAGAGGGTAAGTCGTATACACTTCCTGGAGAATTCAGGGTTTGTTTGCAGGGAGCCTGCAATAAATGTTTTTTTGGAGACCAATCAACAACCCGATCCAAACCTTTGCATCTGTCTGCATCCTAGACTACTGCTGAGAGTCAATTGTCAGACATGCAGTGTGGTCTGTGGCACTTCGGTGATGCTGCAGCTGCATTGACCACTGCTCTTCCTACACACACCAGTCACGGTGACTACTAGGTGTGTAACTTGGGCAGACACGCTGTTGGGCTGGGCCGCTGGGCCTCTGGAAAAGCTCGTTCGATTCGCTTATCAGTGACACTGGCTTCGTCCTATTACTAGGAGGATTGCATTGAGTGTCTCTGGTGTATTTCGGTTTGCTCAGGAACGCTGCTCTCTGTCGCTACAAGTAGTATAATGGACGGGTGCCGCATGATACGCTATCCTCCGTGTAGAACGGGTGTTTTGGTTCCGAAGTACTACCGTTGTGCTGACTCGTTTTAGGTTAACGCGGTAACGATTTTGACGACAAATATTTGAAGGATGCCACGCTAGTTCGTAGTAGTCGTAGTAGTAATGCCGCGGCTTTGACGACGTCATTTAGTCCTGCTTCCTCGGATCGACATGACGTCATCACCACACAAACAAGCGGCGCCTAACAGATCGCGGATGGCCTTGCGGCTCGGAATTTATCGCCGCGCCGCAGGCTGGAAACGAGTTGATTCGTGCCAGTTTAACTACTACTGTTCCGCAAGTTGCGGGTGGCTATTTTGCTCGCGTCGCATCCTTCTAACCCTTTTTCTCGCCGCCCTTTCCGTGCGATTAGCGACCCCTCCCGGCGCATCGGCGACATCGCCCGCCGTTGCTGCTTCGCAACTAATCAACGACGAGCGTCTCTGGGTGCAAATATCGTGGAGACGAAACGGCGGCTTATCTGGTAACCAGATCAGCCGAAATGGTTTGTTTCACCGATCAACAGCAGAACGACAGTCGTGCCTCGTGGTTACTACGAACGCCGCTTACGATGGTGGTAGTATTGCTGCGGCAGCCATGGCGGCGCGAGGGAAAGCCGCTAAATGGGCGACGCGGGAGGAGTCGCACGTGACTGGCTCGCGAGGAACGTGGGAGAATCAGCGAAATTTGTTACAAACAAGAATACCGAAAGCTTCGTCGCCTCTTTGGCCCGGAAACCTCACCGCACCTTCGCCTCAGCAGCCGCCGCAGCCGGCGCCGCGGCCAGGGCGGTCCGGAGGAACTGGCGCGTCTACCGGGAACACAAGCGCTGGGAATACTAATGGTGGTGCTGCCGACGGCGGCGCGGGCCCCAATGCGACCACTATCGCCGACAGCGCCCTTACTAGTACAAGTTCAAATACCAGCGGCGCCAGGGATAATGGGGGGAACAGTGGGAGTGGGAACGCAACAGAGGATCGGCGCGAAGTTTTACGGATTGCGAGTATTGTCTCCCTCGAGTTTCTGCCAGTGCTCGGAACAGGTACAGTAAACTACACTGTCCTTACAAATTATATACAATAAAGATGTATTATATATATATATTTATGTATCTATAAATTTATTTCTATGCTTTCGATATAGGTTATGTGATTCGACAAGCGTCACCGCAGAGAGCAAGCGGCAGGTGCGTTTGCTTGAGCCCAAAAGCATGGCGACAGCGCTGCTTCTGGAATCCCTTCCTTCTCCTCAGCCTCATTCCACTCCCATGCACCCCCTTTTCCCATCTGAGTCCCCGAGTCCCCCTTTCTCCCCACCCTCTCCCCTCTTCCCCTTCGCCCCCCCACCGCTTCCCGCAGCGCTGCGTCTGGGCGTTGACCAGGTCAACGCTAACCCGCAGCTGCTGCCCCCTCTTACCCTATTTTCGTCCCCCTCTTACCCTATTTTCGCCCCCTCATCCCTTCCGCTCTCCCCCTCCCCTCCCCTTCGCGCCCCTTTCCGCTTCCCACAGCGCTGCGTCTGGGCGTTGACCAAGTCAACGCCAACCCGCACCTGCTGCCACGTCACCGCCTCGATATGCAGCTTCTGGACGGCGGCGCGACGCCGTTTCTCGGACAGCTGGCAGGTGAGAGACGGGGAGGTGAGAGGTGCTGAGCGGTGATGGGAGGCGCTGAGAGGTGGTGGGAGGTTGTGGGAGGTAAGAGACGCAGCTGCTGAACGGCAGCGCGACGCCGTTCCTCGGACAGCTGGCAGGTGAGAGCGGAGGTGCGGTGCTGAGAGGCCCTGAGAAGTGATGGGGAGCGAGGGCTTTGAGGTGAGCCACGCCGTGCCTCCCTCGGACAGCTGGCAGGTGAGAGAGGGGAAGGGCGAAGCGAAATGGAGATGGGAGGGGAAGGGGTGGTGAGAGGTGCTGGGAGGTGCTGGGAGGTGCTGGAAGATGCTGATGTTGCTTGCCCTCTCCTCCCCCCTCAATTTCGCTCCCTCTCCTCTCCCATTCCCCCATTCCCGCTTGTCCTCCCCCCCATCAAGGTCTCGAGGCGATGAAGAAGGATCAGCTGCTCATTGTCGGGCCAATGCTGTCCCTCCCCCTCCTCCCCCCTGTTCCCCTGTCTCCTTCCCTTCCCCTCTCCACCTCCCTTCCCCTCATCAGGTCTAGAGGCGATGAAGAAGGATCCGCTGCTCATCGTCGGGCCAATGCTGTCGGGACAGGTGGCGCTGCTTGGAAGCAGCCTCGGGAATGCCGCCCAGGTCAGTCTAGAGAATAGCGCTGGCAGGTTAGTCTAGGGAATACCGCTGCTCATCGACGGGCCAATGCTGTCGGGACAGGTGGCGCTGCTCTGAAGCAGCCTCGGGAATGCCGCCCAGGTCAGCCTAGAGATCCGGGTTGGTCAGCCTAGGATTGCCGCACGGGTAGTTCGGCCTAGGGAATAGCGCTCAAATCAGCCTAGGGAATGCCGACCAGGTTAGCCTTAGGAATTCCCACCTGGGTGGGTCAGTCACGCTAGAGAATGCCGCCTAGGTTGGCCGCCGAGGGAATGTTGCCCGATTCAGCCTAGGGATTGCCGCCGACGTCAGCCGAAATGCCGGTGCTGGATCAGACTAGGAATCCCGACTGGGCTGGTCGGCCTTGGTTGGAACTGCCGCCCAATCCAGTCTCAAAAAGGTCGGCCAAGAGCGCCGCCCAGGTTGGTTGAATATGATGCCGCCCGCCTTTTCAGACGTTTCAAAAGTCAATCCAGTCTAAAAAAGGTTGGCCAAGAGCGCCGCCCAGGTTTGTCGAATATGATACCGCCCGCCCGTGTTAGCTGAATGAGTTCCATGGACATTAACCTCACCGCTCCGAACCCCACGCTCACTGCTTCGAACCGCACACCACGCTAACCACTCCTCTCCTCATATCTCCTCACCATATTCTTTCAGATCCCCATAGTGGCCTATGCTGCCACGGATCCCACCCTCACTGTCAGCATGGGCGGCTTTCCTTTGGCGCGCCTCACTATACCTCACCTGTTCTCTCTTTTATCTCTCCTTCTCTCCTTGTTCCTTCAGATCCCCATGGTGGCCTATGCTGCCACGGATCCCACCCTCACTGTCAGCACAGAGCGGCAATTTGTCATGCGGACGACCCACAGTGATGCTGCTGAGATGCAAGCAATCGCAGGTAACTGCCGATCATGCCCGGGAAATTACAGTTGATAAATAGGTATACCCATGAATTCCACCCTCACTGTCAGAACGGAGCGGCAATTTGTCATGCGAACGACCCACAGCGATGCTGCTGAGATGCACGCCATTGCAGGTAATTACCAGTTATGCCCGTGAAATTGCAGATGATTGTTGAGAAAAATACCTGGGAAATTGCAGGTGATAAGTGAATGTGCCCATGGTGGCATATGCTGCTATGGATCCCACCCTCACTGTCAGCACGGAGCAGCAATTTGTCATGCGGACGACCCACAGCGATGCTGCTGAGATGCAGGCAATCGCAGGTAATTACCGATCATGCCCGGGAAATTGCAGACGGTAAGTAGGATTTCCCGTGGTGATGATTGGTTGAACAACCTGTGCAATCGCAGGTGATTAGGGAGTGCTCCTGTAAATTACCAGGTGATTACTGATCATGCCCGTGCAATAACAAGTGGTTGTTTGTTTCCTGTACGAAGATTTGTATGGACAGGTGGATAGAGGTGGTTGTTACCATTTACATTGACAACTGCTTTGGCTGTGCTAGATCTGAGTTTTGAGAATTCTCAAAAAACTGTTTCCTGTATGGAGAGTTACATGAACAGGTGGACGGAGGTGGTAAGCACCATTTACATTGACAACTGCTTCGGCCGTGCTGTGTCGTGTGTGTGGACGAAACTGCCAGGATCATTTCCTGTCGTGCCTCTTGCTGCATGCACACACAGACATAATCCGGCATCACGAGGAGGACAGGTGGATGGAGGTGGTCACAGTTTACATTGACAACCGACCCTGATGTGCGGTGCTGTGCTGTTCACCTTGCATTCATGCAGACATCATCCGGCATCACGAGGACGACAGGTGGATGGAGGTGGTCACAGTTTACATTGACAACTGACCCTGATGTGCGGTGCTGTGCTGTTCTCCTTGCATTCATGCAGACATCATCTGGCATCACGAGGAGGACAGGTGGATGGAGGTGGTCACAGTTTACATTGACAACCGACCCTGATGTGCGGTGCTGTGCTGTTCACCTTGCATTCATGCAGACATCATCCGGCATCACGAGGAGGACAGGTGGATGGAGGTGGTCACAGTTTACATTGACAACCGCTTCGGTCGCAACGGCATCGTTGCTCTCGAATCAGCGCTGCAGAACAAGGTGTGTGCTGCGCTGAGCAGGTGATGTCTATAGAGTCATGTTGCTATGGAGAGTACCCCTTCTCAACCCAAGCAGGCGCTTCGGCCGCAACGGCATCGTTGCTCTCGAATCGGCTCTCCAGAACAAGGTACGTAACCTTGTTCAACTTCAAAACATCGGCTCAATCCCCGCATGTCAATCTCAGAACTCGCCAGTGTCCTAGATCCCTGCATCATAGAGTTGACTCTGAATCGGCTCTCGAATCAGCGCTTCAGAACAAGGTACGTAACCTTGTTCAAAACATCGGTTTGAATCCCCACATGTCAATTTCATAGCATCGGCATCCTTGTAGACATGTCACATCCTTGTAGACATGTCATATCCTTGTAGACATGTCACATCCTTGTAGACATGTCACATTCTTGTAGACATGTCACATCCTTGTAGACATGTCACATCCTGGTAGACATGTCAGATCCTTGTACACATGTCACATCCTGGTAGACATGTCACATCCTTGTAGACATGTCACATCCTTGTAGACATGTCACATCCTGGTAGACATGTCACATCCTTGTAGACATGCCACATCCTTGTAGACATGTCACATCCTTGTAGGTGTGTCGCATCCTTGTAGGTGTGTTCTGAGGCGACTCAAAACACACTCAGAACACCGGCACCCTTGTAGACATGTCACATCCTTGTAGGTGCTCTCCATAATGCTGTGCTCGTCCTGCACATGCTCCTGAATGCTGTGCTCGTCCTGCACTTCCCCCATTCCCCAGGACTCCAAGGCGAGGATACCTTGCGCCATACCGCGCGACATCACGTGGACAGCAGGAGACGTGAAAGAGAGTTGTTGGTGCGTCTGGAGTTTTGAGTCGACTCAAACCACACCCCCCTCCATCCCACCCTCCCCCAGAGTTCCAAGGCGAGGGTATCCCGATCCATACCGCTCGACATCACGTGGACAGTGGCAGACGTGAAAGAGAAGCTGCTGCCTCTGGTGGAGCGGGAGGAGTCGACAGTCGTGGTGGTGCACGATGCAGGGGGGCAGGACACAGGGCGAGTCTTCATTGCTGGTAGGGAGGAGTGCTGCGTGTGTGCTGGTAGGGATGGCGGTATAGCTGCTAGAAAGAGCAGTGATAGGGGTGTTGGTGGTGGGTTGCTGATGGGTGCACGACGCAAGAGGGCAGGACACGCGGAAAGCAACAGAGGCCACGTGGACAGTGCACCATGCACCGTTTCACATCCCCTTTTACCGCATTCCACCTTAACCCATGCCTCCCTATCCCCCATGCAGCCATGGAGCTGGGCCTGCTGAATGCCCCGTACGCGTGGATAGCCACAGAGGCCACGTGGACGGTTGTGATTAGCGGAGATGACACGCTGGCACCCATCAGGAAAGCCATGGAGGTGAGTCAGTCCACGTCAGGCAGGCCATGGATGTGAGTCAGTCCACGTCAGACAAGCCATGGAGGTGAGTGAGAGTCCATGTCATGTCAGCATACCAGATTACCTTTTTCCACGTGGAAGGGGAGGGAGTGTGTGGGGAGGGAGTGCGTGGGGAGGGAGTGTGTGGGGAGGGAGTGTGTGGGGAGGGAGTGTGTGGGGAGGGAGTGTGTAGGGAGGGAGTGTGTAGGGAGGGAGTGTGTAGGGAGGAGGAGGTGCTGTTTCTGGGATTTTGTTTGTAGCACTCGTCTGATACAGACACCGCTACTTACCCCCACCCCACCCTCGTGCCCTCTCCCTACAAAACCCCTCTTTCCTTCTTTCCCTGCCTTCCCCACCCACCAGGGCGTGTTGGGCATTCAGGCCTACCTGCCGCCATCACCTGAGCTCGCCAGTTTCAACAAGCTCTGGAACAGTGTGGATCCCAAACAGTACCCAGGCGCAGGGGAAAAGGTGCGTTTGAGATGGTGGTGGTGTTGGGATTGGGTGTGGTGCTGTGCGGTGTGGTGCGGTGCAGTGTGGTGTGGTGTAGTGATGTGTGCCGCCATCACCTGAGCTTGCCAGTTTCAGCAAGATCTGGAACAGTGTGGATCCCAAACAGTACCCGGGCGCGGGGGAGAAGGTGCGTTGGTGTACGGTACGGTGTGGTGCGGCATGGTGTGGTGTGGCGTGTGGTGTGAATGAAGTGGTGCTAATTAACAGCAACAGTACGTCTCTCACCATCATGTTCATCACTCACGCCCTTTGAGACGCTTCAAGAGCTGTTCTCCCCTCCCTCTCCCTCCCCTGTACTCTCCCCACCTCCCCCCGAGCCGGACATCTACACGCTGCTGGGATACGACACAGTCATGTTCGTCACTCACGCCCTTCAGCAGCAATACCAGCAGTACCAGTGCCACTGTTTCTGCTCCCCCTCTCTCCCTCTCTTTCCCCCCCAGCCGGACATCTACACGCTGCTGGGATACGACACCATTATGTTTGTCACTCACGCCCTCCAAACGGCTGTTGATACTGGAGTTTTCACTCCCGGCAGCAACAGCACCAGCAACACCACCAGCAGCAGCAACAGCACCAGCAACACCACCAGCGGCAGCAACAGCACCAGCAGCAGCAACGGCACTGTTTCTGCTGGCAACACAAGCAGCAGCAGTAGCACCACCACCAACAATAGCAGCAGAATGAGTGGTGGGGGGCAACAGGCACTGCCAGAGTTGGTCATTGGGCACAACTCAATCTCGCCCCTCCTCTCAGGCATCAAAGTCAGACCATGTAAGCCTGTGGGTGTGTGGGCATGGGAGGATGGGACCATGTAAGCACATGGGCATGGAATGGCAGGGGACATCATGTGGGGAGCAAGCGGCACTGCCAGAGTCGGTCGTTGGGCACATTGCCATCTCGCCCCTCCTCTCGAGAATCAAAGTCAGACCATGTAAGACCATTGGACATTTGATGTGGAGGGGTGTGGGAGTGGTGGTGGCAGTGGTGGGGAGGGAGAAAGCACTGCCAGGGTCGGTCATCGGGCATCAAAGTCCGACCATGTAAGCATCTGAGCGTGTGTGAAGGGGCATGTGGGGAAGCCTGTGAGGGAACATGTAAGCATGTGTGACTGTGAGGTGCCCCTATGCTCCCTTTACACACTCCTCTTTCCCCCTACTCTCCTTCCCCTCTCCTCCTCCCCCCCCACCTTTCAGACGGCGCTGCTCTTCGTGAGGTGCTGCTGCAGACGGATACAAAAGGGGTTTTCACTCTCCCCTTTCCCCATATCCCCGTCATCCCCACCTGCTTGCATACTCCCCCATCCCCCCCTCACCTCCCTCTCCTCCTCCCCCCCCTCTCCCACCTTTCAGACGGCGCTGCTCTTCGCGAGGTGCTGCTGCAGACAGATATAAAAGGGGTGACTGGAAGGTGAGAGGAGGAGAGGGAAGGGGGTGTGAGATGGGAAGGTGCAAGGTTCAAGCTTGCAAGAGGTGCTTCAGCAGACGGATATTAAGGGAGTCACTGGCAGGTGAGCAGGAAGGAGAGGGAAAGCAGGGTAGGTGAGAGGAGGGACAAGTAGCAAGGTTCAAGCTTGCAAGAGGTGCTGCTGCAGACGGATATTAAAGGGGTCACTGGGAGGTGAGAGGAGGAGAGGGGATGATGGGGAGGGAGGGCTGGCAATGAGAGGGAGAGAAATTCAAGAGGTGCAGCTGCTGCAGACGGATATAAAAGTGAACACTGGGAGGTGAGAGACAGGTTAGAAGAGCTGGGAGGTCTTTCCACAAGAAAAGAAAAGAAAAGAACCGTTTTCTCTCCTGACCAGGAGACCGGGATAAGAGCGAACTGAAAGCAGTCAAGGTGGTCAACGCGGTCAACACGGTCAACACAGTCAACACCACTGCCCATTGAAACACAAACTCTACCTATCCTCCACGTGGCCTGTCATGCAGGTTGAATCTGGTGCCCAATGGGGACCGGGACAAGAGCGACTTGGAGGTTATCAATGTGGTCAAAGTGGTCAACGCCTCTGCCCATTAATACAAACACTCTATCTGCCACGTGTCATGCAGGTTGAATCTGCTGCCCAACGGGGACCGGGACAAGAGTGAACTGGAGGTCATCAATGTGGTCAACGTGGTCAACGTGGTCAACGTGGTCAACGTGGTCAATGTGGTCAACGTGGTCAACGCCTCTGCCCGTTAATACAAACACTCTATCTATCTTCCACGTGCCCATGCATGCAGGTTGAATCTGCTACCCAATGGAGACCGGGACAAGAGCGATATGGAGGTTATTAACGTGGTCAACGGGGTCAACACGACTGCCTATTGAACCTGTTTTTCACGTGCCTCACTCACACGCCCGCCATACAGGTTGAATCTGCTGCCCAACGGGGACCGGGACAAGAGCGATTTGGAGGTTATTAACGTGGTCAATGGCACTGCTCGTGTAGTGGCGTACTGGCAGAGCAGCAGAGGCCTGTTGTCCACCACCAAGGTATGTCAGTGAGGTCAATGCGGTCAATGCGGTCAATGCGGTCAATGCGGTCAATGTGGTCAACGGCACTGCTCATGTGGTGGCTTACTGGCAGAGCAGCAAGGGACTTCTCTCCACAGCCAAGGTAATAAAGACGGTCAATGCAGTCAACACAGTCAATGCAGTCAATATAGTCAGTACAGTGACAGTCTATACATTCAATGTTGTGAATGCAGTCAAAGCAGTCAATTTAGTCAACGCGTGGTCAACGACACTGCCCGCATGGTGGCCTACTGACAGAGCAGTGGAGGACTGTTGTCCTACTCCCTTCCGTTCCCCCTACTCGCCCCCACCAGCGACTAGAGCAGCGACAGGGCAATGACAGCTGCTGTGGCGTACTCTTGAGTCAACTCAATCTTCATTCCACTCTGATCCCCCTACTCCCTCCTCTCACTCTCCTTCCTTACCAGCGGCTAGTGCAGCGAGGGCGCAACGACAGTTGGTCAACATTTGTGTGGCCTGGAGGATTGGGAACTCTTGAACTTCTTATCCCACCCTGCCTTTCTTGCACCCTTACACCCTCCCTCCCTCACACTCTCCCTCCCCCCACACCAGCGGCTGGTGCAGCGAGGGCGCAACGACAGTTGGTCAACAGTTGTGTGGCCTGGAGGATTGGGAACTCTTGAACTTCTTATCCCACCCTGCCTTTCTTGCACCCTTACACCCTCCCTCCCTCACACTCTCCCTCCCCCCACACCAGCGGCTGGTGCAGCGAGGGCGCAACGACAGTTGGTCAACAGTTGTGTGGCCTGGAGGATTGGGAACTCTTGAACTTCTTATCCCACCCTGCCTTTCTTGCACCCTTACACCCTCCCTCCCTCACACTCTCCCTCCCCCCACACCAGCGGCTGGTGCAGCGAGGGCGCAATGACAGTTGGTCAACAGTTGTGTGGCCTGGAGGATCGAATCAGGTGAGAATCGGGTCAGGTGAACGATGGGGTCAGGTGAACGATAGGGTCAGGTAAACGAAAGGGTAGGATTCGAGAGAGAGAAAAGAAGAGCATAAATGATGGAAAATCGAGTTTTGAGGCGCCTCAGAAGAGCATAAATGATGGAAAATCGAGGCCATAAGTCTAGTCTCTTCCTTCTCCTTGTTCCTCCAAACTCATCACACAAATTCTCCTTGTTCCTCCAAACTCATCACACAAATTCTCCTTGTTCCTCCAAACTCATCACACAAATTCTCCTTGTTCCTCCAAACTCATCACACAAATTCTCCTTGTTCCTCCAAACTCATCACACAAATTCTCCTTGTTCCTCCAAACTCATCACACAAATTCTCCTTGTTCCTCCAAACTCATCACACAAATTCTCCTTGTTCCTCCAAACTCATCACACAAATTCTCCTTGTTCCTCCAAACTCATCACACAAATTCTCCTTGTTCCTCCAAACTCATCACACAAATTCTCCTTGTTCCTCCAAACTCATCACACAAATTCTCCTTGTTCCTCCAAACTCATCACACAAATTCTCCTTGTTCCTCCAAACTCATCACACAAATTCTCCTTGTTCCTCCAAACTCATCACACAAATTCTCCTTGTTCCTCCAAACTCATCACACAAATTCTCCTTGTTCCTCCAAACTCATCACACAAATTCTCCTTGTTCCTCCAAACTCATCACACAAATTCTCCTTGTTCCTCCAAACTCATCACACAAATTCTCCTTGTTCCTCCAAACTCATCACACAAATTCTCCTTGTTCCTCCAAACTCATCACACAAATTCTCCTTGTTCCTCCAAACTCATCACACAAATTCTCCTTGTTCCTCCAAACTCATCACACAAATTCTCCTTGTTCCTCCAAACTCATCACACAAATTCTCCTTGTTCCTCCAAACTCATCACACAAATTCTCCTTGTTCCTCCAAACTCATCACACAAATTCTCCTTGTTCCTCCAAACTCATCACACAAATTCTCCTTGTTCCTCCAAACTCATCACACAAATTCTCCTTGTTCCTCCAAACTCATCACACAAATTCTCCTTGTTCCTCCAAACTCATCACACAAATTCTCCTTGTTCCTCCAAACTCATCACACAAATTCTCCTTGTTCCTCCAAACTCATCACACAAATTCTCCTTGTTCCTCCAAACTCATCACACAAATTCTCCTTGTTCCTCCAAACTCATCACACAAATTCTCCTTGTTCCTCCAAACTCATCACACAAATTCTCCTTGTTCCTCCAAACTCATCACACAAATTCTCCTTGTTCCTCCAAACTCATCACACAAATTCTCCTTGTTCCTCCAAACTCATCACACAAATTCTCCTTGTTCCTCCAAACTCATCACACAAATTCTCCTTGTTCCTCCAAACTCATCACACAAATTCTCCTTGTTCCTCCAAACTCATCACACAAATTCTCCTTGTTCCTCCAAACTCATCACACAAATTCTCCTTGTTCCTCCAAACTCATCACACAAATTCTCCTTGTTCCTCCAAACTCATCACACAAATTCTCCTTGTTCCTCCAAACTCATCACACAAATTCTACTTGTTCCTTCTCCAATGTCACATAAATCTGGGGCGTTCAAATACGCTTCTTGCAGAAAAAGAGAAGGCTACCTTTCCATTGCAAAAGCTTGGCAAAGGTTACCTCTTTGAAACTACCTTTCCTTTCCTTCATGAAACTCCTTCCATGTTGACCTCTCTGCACCCCTCCTTCTCTCTCCTCCTCTCTCATTTAACTTCCCCCTTCACCCGTTCCCCGTCACGCTTCATTTCTAATTCGCACAAACCTTCCCATTTTTCTTCCCCCCCTCTCTCCCCCTTCCCTTTCCCTTTCCCTTTCCCTTTCTCCCTCCCTCTTCCCCAACCCTCTCCTATTTTGTGCTGCCATCTCCCCCCTTCCCCTGTCCCTATCAGGTGCCCTGGGGGTACCTTCCCAAGAAGAAGCTCCGGCTGGCTGTACCTGTGAAAATGGTGAGTTTGGGTGTGAGGGAGGTGGTGTGTGATGATGGGAGTTGGGATGCAACATCACAGGGCTTTCATCAATTCTCCAGCATCGCCAGCAACATCACAGGGTCCAAATCAGACCAGGCCGCTGTGGGAGGGTTCCCTGTGGCCGTCTTTCGGGCCACAGCAGCGCACCTCAAGTACCCCCAGCGGTTTCCAATTTTTCTCTCCCCTTCTTTGTCCTCTCCCCCTCCTCTTTCACCTCCTCTTCCCTCCCCCCCTTCAGGGCTTTCATCAATTCGCCAGCATCGCCAGCAACACCACAGGGGGCGAATCGGACCAAGCTGCTGTGGGAGGGTTCCCTGTGGCTGTCTTTCGGGCCACAGCAGCTCACCTCAAGTACCCGCTCCGCTTTGAGTTTGTGCCGTTCGGCAACGGCTCTTCCAACCCCAGCTATGATGAGATGCTGCAAGCTGTTGCCGATAAGGTGGGGCCTCAAACTCTTGATCTACATTACTGTGTGAGGTGCGCTAATAAGAGTAATCAGAGTCACAGCAGCACATCTCAAGTACCCGCTCCGCTTCGAGTTTGTGCCGTTTGGCAACGGCTCTTCCAACCCCATCTACGACGAGATGCTGCAAGCCGTGACGGACAAGGTGGGTTGGGCCCTTGTACTTGAAGTCATGGGTTTGAGAGACAACTAGGTCTGAGGTGCCTCAGTTTGTGCCGTTTGGCAACGGCTTCTCCAACCCCAGCTATGATGAGATGCTGCAAGCCGTGGCAGACAAGGTGGGTTCTGAGCCTTTACAGAGTAATGGTGAGGCACCTCAAAGTGAGTCTTTCACTTCCAGCCCACAGCAGCGCACCTCAAGTACCCGCTCCGGTTCGAGTTTGTGCCGTTTGGCAATGGCTCCTCCAACCCCAGCTATGACGAAATGCTGCAAGCCGTGGCAGACAAGGTGGGCCCCGAGACTTGTCAGCCACAGCTTGTCCAACCTAAGCTTGTCCAACCTAAGCTTGTCCAACCTAAGCTTGTCCAACCTAAGCTTGTCCAACCTAAGCTTGTCCAACCTAAGCTTGTCCAACCTAAGCTTGTCCAACCTAAGCTTGTCCAACCTATCTATTTGAAACGGATAGGGTGGACAAGCTGACGGGTGGGAGTTGTGTGAGTTTGCTTTACTCAACCCCAATAGTCATCTTGCTCTGTACTGCGTGCGTGTGGGTGTGGGTGTGCGTGTGCACGTACGTGTGTGTGCTGGCATGCGTGTGTGTGTGCGTGTGTGTGTGTCTGTGTGTGTGTGTGTGCGTGTTTGTGTGTGTGTGTGTGTGTGTGTGTGTCTGTGCGTGCGTGCATGTGTGTGCGTGTGTGTGTGTGCGTGCGAGCGTGCGTGTGTGTGTGTGTGTGTGTGAGTGTGTGTGTGGGCCCTCCTTTGTGTGTGGAGAAGCTGGACAGCGCAGTGGGGGGCATGGTCATTACAAGCCACGGGTGGGGGGGTTGTGAGTCGACTCAAGCCCAGATCGCATCTCTCTCTCTGCCCCATGTGTGTGTGCATCCCTGTGTGCATGTATCCCTGTGTGCATGTGTCCCTGTGTGCATGTATCCCTGTGTGCATGTATCCCTGTGTGCATGTATCCCTGTGTGCATGTATCCCTGTGTGCATGTATCCCTGTGTGCATGTATCCCTGTGTGCATGTATCCCTGTGTGCATGTATCCATGTGTGCATGTATCCCTGTGTGCATGTATCCCTGCGTGCATGTGTCCCTGTGTGCGCAAAGAAGAGCAGGTTCGACCTGGATCCAACAGGTGACTCGTCCTTAACAAGTATCTAATCTTAATCTTCTCTAGGCATGTGTCCCAGAAACTCGACAGAGCGGTGGGGGGCGTTGTCATTACAAGTCAACGGGTGGGGGAGTTGCGAGTCAACTCAGACCCCATTTTTCGTCCTGTTCCGCCCCATATGTACCTGAATGTGTGCAGAAACTCGACGGGGCGGTGGGGGACGTTGTCATTACAAGCCAACGCACGCGCATCGTCACCTTCTCAACCGCATTCATGGTCAGTGATGGTTGTGTGTGTTTGAAAGGTTGTAGTTTTGACTTTTGAGATGTCTCAAAAGTTGTGTTTGAAAGGTTTTAATATCGATTCTAGTCTGCACACACAGCACCCCCCAATCCGCATTGACACCTATTTTCCTCCACGCTCTCCATAAGCTGGGCAGTGGCCCCTGCGACAAGTACACATAGCACCTGGACGCCAACCCCTGGAGGCCCTTGGTGCCCTTCTCACCCTCCGTACATACCCGCTTCCCCCTCCCCTTATCCCTCTCCCTTCGCCCTTGGTGCCCATGGTCTCCCCAGTCCTCAAGTCTATAGCAATGGTCACTCTCGCGCCCAAGGACTCCAGCCCCTGGACGGCCTTCGTTTCCCTCCCCCCATACACACGCGGTTCCATGCTCCTTCCACCCTCTCCGCTCGCACCAGAGGACTCCAACCCCTGGACACCACTCGTCCCCTTCTACCCTTCCATGTGCATGTGCCTCTCAACCTCCTGTTCCCACACCCTTCCGTACACACCCGGTTCCCCCAGACATCAAGCCTTGCAATGGCCACGATCGCACCGGAGGATTCCAACCCCTGGACAGCCCTGGCGCCCTTCTCCCCCGCCATGTGGATGTGGCTCGGCATAGCAGCTGTCCTCTTCGCCCTCACAATCCTCTTCCTTGAACGCCGCAACAACTCCCTCTTCTTCCTCCTCCCTCGTTACCCTCCCCTTCTCCCATCTCCCTCCCTCCCTCGTTCCCCTCTCCTTATCCCATGTCCTCCCTTCCTCCCTCCTTCCCCCCACCTCCTCCCTCCCTCCTCCAGTCCTCAAGCCTTGCGATGGTGACGCTAGCGCCGGAAGACTCCAACCCCTGGACAGCCCTCGTGCCCTTCTCCCCCTCAATGTGGATGTGGCTCGGCATAGCAGCAGTCCTCTTCGCCCTCACAATCCTCTTCCTGGAACGCCACAACAACTCCCTCTTTCTGCAACACCCCGTCGAGGGAGCCACCAAGGCCGAGCGCTGCCGCTCGAAAGCCTTCTCGCTGCTGCAGGATTTCTGGGAGGCTCTTTGGATTTCCTTCCAGAGTTACTTTCTCGTGCCCATGGAGGTTCACACGCTTCTGGCACGCGTGCCGGTGCTGGTGTGGTATGGGTTGATGCTGATTCTGAGCACGTCGTATACGGCCAACCTCACCTCTATTTACACCATCAACCTGCTCACGCCGCCCCTCCAGGTGCGTTGCTCTGTGTGTGTGTGCGTGCGCGTGCCTTTCAGTACGGCTGTCCTGTGGGGTTGACAGACAGTGAGTTGAAACGCCCCTAGGCGCACTGGCAGCTGTGGTATGGGCTGGTGCTCATTCTGAGCACCTCGTACACGGCCAACCTCACCTCTATTTACACCGTCAACCTTCTCACGCCACCCCTCCAGGTGCGTGCGTGCTTGTGTGTGCGTGCGTGTGTGCGCCTGCCTTTCAATACTCCTGTCCAGCGGGATTTTCAGGGGGGAACGCCCGTATGCACACTGGCTGGTGTGGTATGGGCTGGTGCTGATTCTGAGCACCTCGTATACGGCCAACCTCACCTCTATCTACACCGTCAATCTGCTCACTCCTCCTCTCCAGGTGTGTTGTTATGTGGGAGTGGCAGTGAGTTGATTGAACGCCCCTATGCGCACTGCCTAATGTGGTATGGTCTGGTGTGGTATGGTCTGGTGCTGATCGTCAGCACCTCGCATACGGCCAACCTCACCTCTATTTACACCGTCAACCTGCTCACTCCTCCTCTCCAGGTGCGTGCGTGCATGCGTGTGAGTGTGCGTGCGTGCGTGTGTGTGAGCGTGCGTGCGTGCGTGTGTGTGAGTGTGCGTGCGTGCGTGCGTGTGAGTGTGCGTGCGTGCGTGTGTGTGAGTGTGCGTGCGTGCGTGTGTGTGTGTGAGTGTGTGTCCCTTCAAGGTTCTCTGTATACCCCTTCCGTTCCATCCTAAAATCTCCTCACCTCACCCGCCTTGTGCCTCCTTCTGGTCTCTGATTTGTTCCTTCTGTTCTGTCCTTCTATCCATCTACTGGTTCATGCCTGCTCACAGTCGGTAGGGGAAGCAGTGGTTCGAGGCTCCATCATTGGGTACCAAGCCGGGTCTTTCATCAGATCCTACCTGCTACAAATCGGTCTCAAGCCAGTAAGCCTCTGCTTCAAAGCAGCACCCATTTTCCCGTCTCTCAGACTCAAAGAGCGAGCCATTTTTTTAATCCCACATTCTCTGAAGCACCATAAGCACCAAACCTTTGGGTCATCACAGGTCGTCACAGAGGAGGAAAGAAATAAATAATAAGGGACGCCTCGAAAAGCATTCCCAGGAACACAGTAATCAACAAACCTTCCAGCCAATCATGTTCCCACATGCCCTTCCCCACTCCCCCGTCTGCCAGTCCCAGCTGGTGCCGCTGAACAGTGAGAGTGGCTACTACGAGGTGCTGAGAGCAGGGAGGGTTGTATTGTAAAGGTCTCTTTTACCAAACTGTTCCCCTGTTCCACTCACCCCTTCTCCTCCCCTCTCCTCTTCCCTCCCCTTCCCCACTCCCCCATCTGCCAGTCCCAGCTGGTGCCACTGAACAGTGAGACTATTACGAGGTGCTGAGAGCAGGGAGGGAGAGTTTGAACTGGCTTCTTTACCAAACTTCTCCCCTGCTTCCCTTCCCTCCCGCCTGCCCCCCCTGCCAGTCCCAGCTGGTGCCGCTGAACAGTGAGAGCGACTACTACGAGGCGCTGACAACCAAGAGGGTGGAGGCGATAGTGGATCAGACGCCCTACATCGCCCAGTTCAGCTCCCAGTATTGCGGCATGCTCGTTTCAATGCAGAACCTTCAGAACATCTACCTGGCATTTGTAAGCAATGCTTGTGCAGTGTTTTTGTTTTGTTTTTATATTTGTTTGGTGCTGTAATGGGCCGGTGCTTCACATTTTTCCAATCCATCTGCACTTCATATATGTAGGTATACATATGTATACATATATTGTTTCTTAGACCATTTTTTGTTTTACATTTTTTTAGAGCACTCCTGGCTTCATTATTGAAAACTACCTGGAATGCATAGAATTATAGGAACGCGATCACATTTTCACATTCTTTCGGTCAGTATGTGCATCATATATACCTTGGATAATCATACGTTGTGGGTTGGATGGATCTTCTTTGTGAAAAGTACTTTCTGTGAATCGTTCTCCTCCTCCTCCTCCTCCTCCTCCTCCTCCTCCTCCTCCTCCTCCTCCTCGCCTCCCCTCCCTCTACACCAGGCCTTCCCCATTGGTTCCCATCTGGCTGATGACGTGGCACATGCGCTGCTCTACGTGGCACAAAGTGGAGAGCTGCAGAGGATACGAGAGGATGTCATTGCGGTGAGAAAGGAGGGGAGAGGGGGTGGAGGGCGGGGGGCAGATTTCTGTTTGTTTGTTTCTTTCTTTCTTTCTCAAGAAGCACCTGAATCTGGCGTGAGCTGGTGGCTGCACTTGGGACGTGCTTTGAGGTGCCTCAACAGTCTTTCCTCCCTCCCTTCTGCTCCCAAACCCCCCCCTTCTGCTCCCAAACCCCTCTCACCCAAACAGACAACCGAATCGTGCGACGATGCCTCCTCCTCCACCCTTCAGCTCGGCTTCCGCAGTTTCAGCGGCATAATGCTTGTGTCCCTGGGGCTGTCTCTGGGTGCTGCTCTCTGAGGTGCTTTTGAGTCGACTCAAACACAGTTTCAGCGGGATCATGCTCGTCTACCTGGGGCTGTCTCTAACTTCTCCTCTTTCCTAACTCCCCTCCTGATCCAAACAGACAACCGGAACGTGTGACGATGCCTCGTCCTCCACCCTTCAGCTGGGCTTCCGCAGTTTCAGTGGCATTATGCTTGTCTACCTGGGTCTTTCTCTAGGGGCGTGCCTGCTGTTTGGAATCATCATCATGGTTCAAGGCGTGCGTGTGCATGTGAACATGTAAGTGGGTTTGCAGTGCGGTTCGTATGGGTGCATGAGGGTGCAAGTAACCATGCTTGCGTTGTCATGCTTGTGTACCTGGGTCTGTCTCTGGGGGCGTGCCTGCTGTTTGGAATCATCATCATGGTTCAAGGCGTGTGTGTGCATGTGAACATGTAAGTGGGTTTGCAGTGCGGTTTATGTGGGTGCATGTTAGTGTGCACATGTTTGTATGTGGGTGTACATGTGCCTTCATGTGGGTGTGCAGTGTGCCTTCATGTGGGTGTGCAATGTGCCTTCATGTGGGTGTGCAATGTGCCTTCATGTGGGTGTGCAATGTGCCTTTATGTGGGTGTGCAATGTGCCTTCATGTGGGTGTGCAATGTGCCTTCATGTGAGTGTGCAATGTGCCTTCATGTGGGTGTGCAATGTGCCTTCATGTGGGTGTGCAATGTGCCTTCATGTGGGTGTGCAATGTGCCTTCATGTGGGTGTGCAATGTGCCTTCATGTGGGTGTGCAATGTGCCTTCATGTGGGTGTGCAATGTGCCTTCATGTGGGTGTGCAATGTGCCTTCATGTGGGTGTGCAATGTGCCTTCATGTGGGTGTGCAATGTGCCTTCATGTGGGTGTGCAATGTGCCTTCATGTGGGTGTGCAATGTGCCTTCATGTGGGTGTGCAATGTGCCTTCATGTGGGTGTGCAATGTGCCTTCATGTGGGTGTGCAATGTGCCTTCATGTGGGTGTGCAATGTGCCTTCATGTGGGTGTGCAATGTGCCTTCATGTGGGTGTGCAATGTGCCTTCATGTGGGTGTGCAATGTGCCTTCATGTGGGTGTGCAATGTGCCTTCATGTGGGTGTGCAATGTGCCTTCATGTGGGTGTGCAATGTGCCTTCATGTGGGTGTGCAATGTGCCTTCATGTGGGTGTGCAATGTGCCTTCATGTGGGTGTGCAATGTGCCTTCATGTGGGTGTGCAATGTGCCTTCATGTGGGTGTGCAATGTGCCTTCATGTGGGTGTGCAATGTGCCTTCATGTGGGTGTGCATGTGTACGGATCTACACACAGGTGTATGCATCTGTTCCATATGCATGCATGAGTGTGCAATCTGCTTTCCCATGTCACTCCGGTCCCTCCTTCCATAACGGGCTGTGTCTTCTTCCTTGTACCTTCCTTTGCGTCCCAAAATTGTTGTTTGCTATTTTTTCGTGCCTGTGCTTTTCCTGCTCATGTTTTCTGCCTGCACAATCCGCTCGCAGGAAGAAAGCACAGGAAGACGCTGAAACGAGCAACTCTTTCGACAAAAACAATATCGACGACCGAGACGGAAGAAACGCCCGAGAAATAACGCCCCTAACAGGATGTGACTATACCGGGAATCCGGGTGTTTCTGACACAGCGTCCGGCCCTAAAAAGACGGGTCTTCGAGTGAGCAAGGCACTACCGAGGACCTTTATCTTTGATGAATTGCAAGGTGAGGAGGGGGCAGAGATTGAGAAGGGTCTGGATCGGGAGATAGAGGAGGACGTTGAGGAAAACGGTGGGAGTGGAGGTGGGGTTGGGAGAGTGAGTGAGTCGCAACAGCAGCAGCAGCAGAAGTATCCTGTCCAGCCAATCAAGAGAGAGGATGTGAAGCAGCGGCCGTGGCGGCAGAGGCAGCAGCGGAGCCTAGAGGAAGATGAGGAGGTGCCAGGCAAAGCAGCAGCAGCAGGAGGGCAGCAGCAGGGGCAGCAGAAGGGGAAGCAGCGGCTTACTGTCTCATTTAGCAGTACAGCCCACTTGGGCAGCAGCGCCAAAGGCGGCACCAGCAGAAGCAACAGCCGATCGTGGTCCAATCTCACCCGAGTAAAGACCAATCTGCACCAGTCATGGTCTGAACTGGTCTCGATCTATAACGACGGATCGAATGCCGTTTCCCTCCACTCTGCTTCTGCTGCTGCTGCTTCGGGTGCAAGCCCGCTTACCCGCGCGCTCACCACCACAGGCAGCAGCCCTCTTTCGAACCGGTCGGCATCTACCGGCAGTACTACCCACGTGATTACTGCTTCTGGTTACTCCTTTGCTTCACACCGAAGTGTTGGGAGCTCCCTTGGGAGCGGCCGTCTTGCTGTTGCTGGTAACCGCTCTGCGTTACCGCATGTATCCAGCAACAACAGTCTTGCCAGAGGCCCTGATACCATGCTGATGCGCCGAGCCATGCAGAGCTCTGCCAGCGTCCCGAACCTAACCAGGCTCGGATCGAACAACGGCAGGTCCGGACTGGCTCGTGAGCCGAGCCCGGGCCTGAGTCCGAGCCTCGGAGGCCAGTCCTCCCAGCTTTCCACTCCGACTAGCGCCGTCCTGACCTATGAAAACAGCCCTCATGGGTCATTGGGTAACGGTGATGGTCGAAGGCAGCGCTCCTCTTTAACCAGAGCCCTAGAGGAGGATGACGATGAGGAGGAGGAGGAGGTGACAGTAAGGGAGGGAGTGGGGGCATCTGAAGGACCAGCAACTGGCGCTACTGGTTTGGGAGCCGGCCAGTCGCTGGCCAATCAGCAAGCGACACCTGGCATGTCACCCCCACTGCCCGAGGCTGGGTCCCGAGGCTTGGTCCGAACCACAGCTGTGGTGGGTAAGATCTGGAACCATCTAGGTCCGGGGAAGCCGTGGCAGAAGAACCTGAAGGAGCAGCGAGAGAGAGTGGCTGCTATGGGGACGTTTCATCGGGATTTGCTGCAACAAACGGCGGATAGTCACTCACGATCGATAGAGAGGCTTAGAGAGTTGGGGCAGCAGATGCCTTATGGGGGGGTGGGGGAGGGACATTTGGGTATGGGCGTATCTGGGCGCATGGGCAGTGCCATTGAGCGAGGGGATCAGTTCAGTCGAAGGGTCTCTTTGGTTTCGGGAAGGAGGATGGAGCATGTGGTATCAGAGCCACCGAGCGTGCTGAATAGGCCTGGGTTGGAATGACGAGATTGTTGAGATCATGTTGGTGAAATCACCTCGTTTTTTTAATGTGCTTTGATAGCACATGATGTTTGACTTGAGCCATCTTGCACAGGAAATGAATGCGAGGTGCGGGTATTAGGTTGAATTGTAAGAGGTGTGTCGTGTAGTACTACCATATGTGAGATGCAGGGCCTCAAGTTTCATCCCATTGACACTAACTTTACTGATTGGTGAAGTTGAGTGTAGTGGTATAGAAGATTAAGAGCCGACATATATCTGACAGATAAGTTTAACAGTGCTTGCAACAGCCACGACAACATAGATTCAACTGACATTGTCTCTCAACTCATTCAGACTCTCACCATAGGCGGTAGTTGCTGTAGGCTGTAAGGAAGCGGAAACACGCTAATATGTGGTATCCGGTAATCCATATATTTATTGTATTGACAAAACTTATATTTGCATTTGCAGCGAGCATCTATATCAGCATAGCTCGCGGGGAATCGCTTGGTGCTAGAGTAAGGATCTTGGATAGTAAAGGAATCAGGCCATACGATATCAGGATTTTTTCCCTGAAATTCCTGATTTTCATGGATTTTTTTGTACCTACCCTGATTTTCCAGTGTTCAGCTTTTTGGGGGACTGATTTTTCAGCCTTTAGGGACATTGATTACACTACGTTGTAACGAAACTGACACTGAATGCGATTCCTACACGTTCCGAGTGTAGTTGCCCGGAAGTACAGGGAATCTCAGATTCCCACGGTGTCAGCACCGCCTGGCGGTGACTACCAGACAAATATGCCCCGTGTTATTCGCTTTGAGGGCTGCTTTGTTGGCGCGCTTGGTCCGATCATTGGCCACTTTTGCAGCATTATGTGGTTGACCAATGACAAGGTTGCAACAGAGCGATGCTGGCAAGGGGAAGCCGACTGGGTGTGGTCAGCTGACAAGTGTACTGGTCGACCTGGAGTTGGTCGACCAGGTGGGTTGTCGACTTGGAGTTGGTCGACCAGGGGAGTGGTCGACCTGGTGAGGTCGACATGTGGTGGTCGTCGACATGGGCGGTCGACGGGCCTGGGATGACACACCTAGTCGACATGGTTGCCTGGTTGACCAGGTTACCTGGACGACGAGGTCTGCGAGGTTCGCGACTGTCGCCCAGGTAGATTGGCAATGTCGACCTGCGGTTCGGTGGCACGTGGTCAACAGGACTCCTTAGGTGCAACCGCCAACATGTGGTCAACTTGGCACCTGCGCAATGTGCGTGGCGGTGCATGTCGTTACCCTCACCTTGCACCTGCGAAGTAGGTGCGCGCATATGAGCACGTGTGGTGACCTGTGGTGGCCTGTTGTTGGTGTGCTGGCACGCCAACCTTGCAAGTCGACTGAGGACGCCTGAGGTCGACCAGCTGGCAAGTCGCCTTCGTGCTGAGCTGGTGGTCGACTTGTATGCTAGGCTTCTGATGTAGCCTATCTTGCCAATCTAGTTGCTACCATTGTTATCAACTTTTGCTATTAAAACTCTTGCGGTTTTGCCCTGTGAACGCACAAGTGCTAGAGAACGATGAAGGGAACGAACGCAGAGATCCCTCCTACCCCGTGCCTAGCCCGTAGTCTAGCTCCCATTGATAGAGTTTTCTCCGCATGGTGCGGTGAGCGTGGAAGGCACACGACTTACCTTTCAGTTAGGTCGACGTAGTTGTCACTTACCTAATTTGTGTTCATAGGCCAGCAGCTGTGCGGTAGTAACTATTGTAGGCGCCGTAGTTGACACGGGGGTGGTGGACACCTTGGAGGCATGGCTGGAGAACGCGAGGAGACGTCACAAGGCGAACGAGTATGGCGACCTGCCCTGGGCGGTCGTCGAGGCTGGCATCCGTGTCGTGTGGGCGACGGAGCACCCTTATCGGCCTGTCTCTCCTCGACCGGTGAACACTGAGGGCGGCGTCGACGTGGGAGTCAATGCCGGTGGTGACCAAGTCGGCAGCAATGCGGGAGGCACGTCGAGGCAGCGAGGTGTGATACATGCCAATGAGGTCGGCGGTGTTCAGGCCCGAGGGATGCGGTCGTCGGTGGCTACAGGCTCCTCAAAAGGCGACGTCAGAGGTCGACGAAGCAGTTTGTCGCCGATGTCGGCGACCCACGTGACCGCGGGCGGAATTGCACCGAGCTACGGCTACTTCAAGTTTACGCCGGACAGGATCTCGGTCACCCCCCTGCTTGTTGTTCAACCTGATATCCTCACCTGGAAGGAAGCCATCGAGCCCCAGCTGGAGATGGCCAGGCTGATCGGCTTTGCCAGGGGCACTGTGGCGACGCCGGAGGAACACTACCCTGACTTGCGTGCGGAGTTTTGCGCCGTGCAGTTGCTGACCTTCACGGTCATCTCGCGGTGGTGCTCGCCGGGTGTGCAGATCGCCTTGAAGTCGTGCAGGGAGTACCTCGACGCCGGCCACCGGGCATGGCACTTCATCGAGTCGACATACCAGGTCACCGACGCCCTGTACATCGGCCAGCTTGAGGAGCAGCTGTCGCACATACGAATGGGCGAAGAGGAGACGGCGACCGACTACTGCAACCGGGCTCGGCGAATTCTCGCCACCATGAGGATGGCCGGCGTGCACTACTCGACGGCGTCGTACCTCACGCACGTTATCAAAGGGCTCACGAGCAGCTACAACCTGCTGAAACGACTGTCGTTAGCACCGAGTACTAGGGCGATACTCAACAAGGATTCCCTTAACTCGTACATCCTGCAGGATGAGGCAATGCAGGAAGCTGAGCGGCCCTCGGAGCTCCTTGCACAGGTGAACTACATCGCCCCGGTGAAGCAAGGTGGTCGACCGGGGCAGTGCGGGCAGTCTGGCGGCGGTGATAGCAGTGGCTGGAAGGCGACCAAGGACGCCGACAAGAAGAAGTCGGCCAAGGACAGCGGTCGAGGAGGAGGAAGTCGACGTCGGGAGTGCTGGCTGTGCGGCGACCCCGACCACCTCTCCTTTGAGTGCCCCGACCGCAGTGACTCCGACGACGACAATGCCAAGGGAGGCCGCGGGAGGTCTGGCAGCCGTCGTCCCCGTCGAGGAGGAAACAAGCCGCGCAAGGAGAAGCAGTCGACCTCGGCGATGGACGCCGACTCCTCTGCTGGCGGCAAGGGGCGAGACGACAAGGAGGCGGCGTGCTCGCTGGTCGGTGTCGTGGAGCCGATAGTCTCGCTGGCACCGGAGGCTGGCGAGGACTTCCAAGCGATGGCGGCGGCTGTGCAGGCGAACCCGGAGGTGGTCCTGCTCGACAGCGGCTGCTCGCATCACCTGATGGGGACGAAGGCTGCCTTCGTCGACTTGGGGCTGAGTGGCGATGTCAAACACGTGCGCGGCTTCAACGGGGCACTGCAAGACGTCTAGGGCCGGGGCACGGTCACCTTGCAAGGGGAGGCCGGGAAGCAGGTGCTAATCCCGGACATGCTCTACGTCCCGGGCGTGCGAGCGAACCTGCTTTCTGCCGGCCAGCTGAAGGAGAACAGCGTGAAGCTGCAAGAGGACGGCGACGGGATGTTGCTTGTCTCGGCGGCGGGAGACGTCCTCGGTCGGGCGTCCTACACCGGGCGAGTCCTCTGCACTGACCTGCGTCCCTGCTTGAAGAGGTCTCCAACGCCCCCGACGGAGATCGTGGCCCTGCGGGCGATCGTCTCGGCGACGAAGTCGACGCCGGACAGGCAGCATGCGAGGCTTGCACACGTCGGCATGGACATCATCCGGAGCTCAGCGAAGCACAAGGTCGCCACTGGGCTGGACCTCAAGTCGGCATTGGGTGCCGACTCACCGTGTGTTCGTGCGTCGGCGGGAAGCTGGCGCGACATACCAAGGCTCCGACGCCGCCGACATGTTGGCCGTCGTGCACATCGACCTGTGCGGGCCGTTCCGCGTGGCTGCCAAGGATGGCAGCTTGTACTTCTTGCTGCTGAAGGACCGCAAGACCCGCTACGTGTGGGTGAGGCCGGTCGCCAAGAAGTCGGACGTGCTGCTGGAATTCCAGAAGTGGCTGGCGGTGGCTGAGCGACAAACAAAGAAGTCGGTGCTGATGCTGCGTACTGACCGGGGAGGGGAGTTCATCGGGAAGCAATTCACCGACTTCGTGGATGGCAAGGGGATCATCCACGACCTGACCTGCCCCTACACCCCGCAGCAGAACGGCATGGCGGAGCGGGAGATGTGCACGATGGTGGAGTCGGTGAGGACGATGCTGCTGCACATGGGCGTGCAACACCACTGGTGGCACCTCGCTCTGCGGCAGGCCGTCTGGGTTCGCAACTGCCTGGAGCGGTCGGCGCTGCCGCCGGGGATGACGCCGTACCAGCTGTTCACCGGAACGAATCCCGACCTGTCAATGGCACGTGTGTGGGGCTGCATGGCGCAGTTCCTCGTCCCCGAGCAGCAGCGTGGTGGGAAGCTGAAGCCAAAGGCCCGGTGGGGCCAATGTCAGAATGTTCTAGTGCTTACATTTGTGTAGGCTATAGTGGGGTAGCCCATAAGGGGTACAACCCAATTAGGGTTAGTACTTGTACCCAACTGTTTCATAGTTCATTCATTCTCGTTCATTCTTCTGACATGGTTTCAGAGCAGGTCCTCCGCTAGGACCGTTTTTTTTTTCCTTGGGCCCACCACTGCGCTGCCCCACTAGCCGCCCCTAGCGACCCTCGTGTCGCCCCTAGGCCTGTCACCCCGGCCCGTCGCCCCTAGGCCCGTTGCCCCTAGACCGGCCCGTCGCCCCTAGCCCAGCCCGTCGCCCCTGGGCCCGTCGCCCCGACCCGTCGCCCCTAGGCCAGTCGCCTAGGCCCGTCGCCCCTACGCCGGCCCGTCGCCCCCAGCCCGGCCCGTAGGCCCGTTGCCTGACCCCCGGCCCGTCACCCCTAGGCCCGTCGTCCCGGCCCGTCGCCCCTTGGCCCGTCGCCTAGGCCCGTCGCCCCTAGGCCGGCCCGTCGCCCCCAGCCCGGCCCGTAGGCCCGTCGCCCGACCCCCGGCC